CAGAGCCTTGTGTGTTTATTTTTCATTATTAATACCTACTTTTATTGTGCTCTGGTCAAAGAATGTGGCCTGAATTATTTATGCCTTTTGCTATGTACTGGCAGTTTATTTGTAGCTTAAGCGTGGCTAACATTTCGATTGTCCCATGGCTTCTTGGCAAGTGTTCTCTTTGTTTATAGGGAAGGATGTTTTATCCATGTCCTCCACTCAGCCCTTTAAATTAAATTACGCAGATCTCATTTGTCTTCAGGCCTGTCTGTGAATCAGCCCCAGAGCCCAAGCAGTGCACCAAGGTTCCCACTGCCATCTTACACTTTCTCTGTGAGCTGTTGTGTTCCCTATGTAGGTTGTTTACCTTACAGCCTCCCAGCTTCAACCTACCAACATGCTAGGACTGCAGGCGTGGACCACCATGTCTATCTCACTCCAGCATCTATCTGCCTTCTATATGTTTCCACTGTCCTATTGGATAAGCAAACTTTCTCCGGTGTTTCACTTTGACAGTGGGTGCACTGTGGCTGACGTAATAGCCTTCCTGACAGAGCCAGTTGCCTCTCTGAGCTGGTTTCCTCAGTCTCTGATGCTTTTAGAGTCTGCGTGTTTCCTCTCTGGCTGCCTCTCTCATTGAGTTGGTACTATTATTTGGCCAACCATCTGAGAGCTGAATGAGGACCATGGCTGGGAAGCTGGCTACGCAGAATCATTCTACTTTCCTCTCCAAGCAGGGAAAGAGGGGCCTGCTATCTACCAGTTTCTTTTATCTTGGTGTGAGTGTGTGTGTGTGTGTGTGTGTGTGTGTGTGTGTGTGTGTGTGTGTATACATGCCTGCTGAGCCTTCTTCATGAACCTTGAGCTGGTCTTACAGATTGAGAAGAAGCTCAACCACTCAGGGGCTGTTGAGCATTACCCTGCTTGGAAAAGGCCCTAGGTTGTTACTGCAAGCGGTAGAAGATGGTCTACATCCCCCAGCATGAAAAGAGTCTCCTTAGAAGAGTCTTTGCCTGCTCATTGCCCATGGTTTGCTTTATTCATAGTCACTCTCCACCCCGGGCTTCATGTCCCTTAGCTAAGATGCATTGGGACCAGAAGTGATTCTGATTTTGGAATATTTACATACACATAAGGAGACATTTGGGGGATGAGATGCAAATGTAAACGTAAAACCCCATAGGTAATTTTACACAGTATTACTTGTGATGTCATCTTTAACACTCCAAAACTTTGGGGTTCTGAGCTACACCTTACTACCTTCCTTGCCGCCGAGGCAGAAGATCTGACAGAAATAACGTGTCTAGGAAGTACTGGCTTTGGCTTGATCTCTCAGAGGGTGTGGTCCACAGGGCAGGGAAGGCCTGGGGGAGCTCACAGCTGAGGGATGGAGCTAATGGGTTTCCTCATCTCTTCTCGGTGTAGCTGGAAACAGGGAGTGTGAGTGACAACCACAGCTAGCCAGCATCCCTCAAGCTCTGTGCCCCAACCCTGGGATGGCTATGTGTCTGCCAGCTAGGCCCCATGTCCCAAAGGCTTCATGGCTTCCCAGAACAGTGTTCACAGCTAGGGACCAGTGTTCAAACACACGGGCCTGTGGGTTCATTTTGCATGCAAATGGAATGTCCTGCCTATTGTAACCACTGACAACTTTTAGATGTGTTCTCTTCTGCTTCCTGCTTACAAAATTTCTGGAAGAATCATGAGTTGAAAATTACTGCCAATGTCTTCCTATGGTCCTCCAACCAGTCTTTGTATGTGTGTATATCCATTGGCAGTCTACACCAGCCTGGGGCATAAGGACAGCTTAGCTCCAGTTTCCAGAGATGGTGTAAGCTGGTGGTTCTCAGGGGCTAAAGTTCAGTAAAAGCAGCAGCCTCCCCTCCCCACCCTTCACTGCTCATCCTTTTATATTGCATATACTGCCTGCATGAGCATATATACAGTGCATGTGTGGTGGTGCCCACAGAGGCCAGAAGAAGGCGTTAGAGCCCAGAAACTAGAAGTGAGCCTACGTGTAGTGGTCAGGAACTGAACCCAGGTCCTCTGCCAGAGCGTCTTAATCTCTCAGCTACCTCTCTGCTTTGCCCTTTGCTTTTTAATAAGGTCCTGTGAAAGATGCAGATCTTTCACATTCATGACCTCCTGGGGGGTATACTAACTAAGCAGATTTGGAGACTGTCTGGAATACACACACACACACACACACACACACGAACACTTTTTTTTTTTTCACCAAAGATAAATAGCTTCCCCAGCTCATGGATCTGGGAAAGGGTGTGAGTCCCAGTGTGAACCCATGAGGTCAAGAGTGGGAAGCAGGGCTGAGGCTGGAAGCTGACTGTGACAAGTGTGTTGAGCCTCAGCAAGGGGAAAGCGTTGCAGTGGAATTTCCCCTAGCCGTTGAAAGGAGGCTTATCAGCACACAGTGGGGATGTAAGTGAGTATGCCCTAAGAAACACATGTTTTAGAGGGATGTGGCTTTAAAGTCTAGTGTGTTTGTAGAGTGAGTGGTGTGGGGGAGGGAGTATGTGTGTGGGGGAGTATGTGTGTTATATAAGTGTATATGTAGTATGTATGTGGTATGGAGGGGTTTGTGTGGAGTGTGGTATGTGTGTGTGGTATGTCTGTGGTGTATGTGATCCCTCTGTGGTGTATGTGGTGTGTCTGTGGTATGTGTTGTGTGGTACGTGTTTGATATGTGTGTTTGGTGTGTGTGTGTGTGTATGTGGTATGTGTGTGTATGTGGTATGTGTGATGTGTATTTGTGTGATGTGTGTTTGTGTGTGTGATGGGTGTTTTGTGTAAGTGATATGTGTGTGGTATGTGTGTATATGTGTATGAGTGCTGTGGGGGGCATGAGTGGTCTGTGTGTGGTATGTGTTGTGTGTGATATGTGTGTGGTGTGTGCTTGTGTTGTGGCATGTGTGTGTATGTGCATGTGTGCTTCTAAAGAGTGAACCCAGACCCTTTAATATGCTAGATACATTTTACAACCAAGCCACATCCCCAGCCCTTCTTGTGGTTTTATTTTCATTTTGCTTTGCTTTATTGATACAGGGTCTCACTCTACAGCCCTGGCTGGATTAGAATTCACTACGTAGTATGGACTGGCCTTGAACTCACAGAGATCCGCCTGCCTTTACCTCCCAGGCTCTGGGACTAAAGGCATGTGCCATCATGTCTGGCCCTTTTTATTTTTTTCTTGGTGATAAAACTTAGGGAAAAGTCATCTCAGTGGTTTGGAACAAACTCTGGAGCCTGGGCAGCCCTTAAGCGTATAGGTTTTCTGCCTCAACCTCCTGAGCTCTGCAGTGACAGGTGTGAGCCAGCAGGCCCTGGTTTTGTTTTAGGAAAACTGATACCCAGGAATCCATGTACTTGATCATCATTTATTAATTAGGAGACCCAAACTTCATGACAACTAATCCATCCCATCCTCTTTCTACTAACCTGGCTGTACGTCCTCCAAATCTAAATCTAAAACATTAAACACTGACATCTCTATGTGCTTTGGGCTTGGAAGCATGTACTAGTTACTTTCTGTGACAAAATCATGTGACAAGGCAACTTAAGTCTGGGAGACGGCTTTCCTGGGAAGATGCTTGCTGTGCAATCGTGAGGAACTGACTTCCATTCCCAGTGTCCACGTAAAAAAGCCAATGTGACCATGGGTTTCTGTAACCCCAGCACTGGGGAGGGGGGAGGTGCAGAGAGGCAAGTAGACCTCTGCCTGGCCTAACCGGTGAGCCTCAGGTCCGGATGAGAGGCCCTCTCCCAAGATAAAAAGGCTCCTGAGAAACAACATCAGGAGTTGATCTGGGAATCACAACACACACACACACACACACACAGCAGTACCACCACCACCCCACACCCATAAATCATACCACACATACTACACAGTTACCACACTCACACACACACACACATACAACACACACTACCTTGACACCATACCACACCCACACATCATACCACGTACATATTATACAACATATACACACACCATTCACATACATATGCACCACACACACATGCACCACTCTCCTCCCCCACCCACCACACACACACACTCACATACACACCACTCCACACACACACATCACGCATATACACACACACACCACTACTCTACACACACATACACACACACATACACACACACACACACACACACAAATGAGAAGGGAGGGTTTCTTTTGATTCATTGTTTGGAAGGATGCATCCATCGTGACAGAGAAGGCTTGGTGACGGTGTGTGAGGCAGCTGGTCACACTGCATCTGCAGTTGTTAAGCAGAGGGATGTGAAAGCTCACCAGGCTTTCCAGGGCTCCCGCCCTGTCTTTTAGTGAGTCTATGCATGCTTACATGTCTCTTCCTTCCGTTAAACCTCTATGGAAGCATCCTCAGTCATGCCTAGAGGTTTGTGTCCTAGTAACTCCAAATCCAGTCAAGTTGAAGAGTGTCTTGGCATCTGGCTCTTCAGATGGGGGCCACACAGCTGACATGAGAATATGCAAACATTCTCAAGTTCTAAACAGTCCAAAATCTGAACTAGTTTTGATCCCTGAGATTTTTGAAAATGGATCTTCACTCTTACGTACAGGCCAGCACTCAGAGACTGAGAGTGGAGAACTCCCCCAGACAGAGGAAGAGGACTCATAGGGTCGTGGTGGAGGAGCCACCTGACTCAGGAGAAAGAGACAGGACCCTCATCAGCACCTGTGATGGCAGCTGGGCTCTGATGACCCCAGCTTCTGCTGATCATGCTCCTGAGAAGGAAGCCAGTCCCCAGAGAGCTCAGTACACTGGCTGCCAGAAATTAGAGGGATGTTTTCCATTCATTCCTAGCTCTTAGCTGCAGATCACATGCCAATAGATGGCCCCTGCCACATGAGATCTCTTGCAACCCTGGGATGAGGAGGGAGAGAGAGGGCAGCTGTGGCCGGAAGTCAAGGGTGCCTGTCTGTGGCCCCCGCAGCATCTGAGCTGTGTCTCTGTCCCCACAGTGAATGGATACCACGCATCAGGGACCCCGGCGCACCCTCCAGAGACTGCCCACATGAGTCTCCGAAAATCCACCGGTGATTCCCAGGTAAGGGGTTGCCAAGGGAGGTAGGGGCAGCTGAGACTCTAGCTCAGGGAAGATGTACTTGGGGGTCAGAGGCAACTGCCCTTTTCTGCTGTTAGTGGAAAGTAGCTCTGGGTTGTCCTAACAGTTCCTGATGATAGATGGCTTGCAGGATTGCAGTTTGTTGGTTTTCTAGAAATTGAAGGTAATTTGGATGGCGAGATACTGATTATAGTTGTCAGGGCAGAGAGATCCACTCTGCTACCCACATATCCAATAGTGTCCAGGTTTCCTGTCAGGTTAGGCGTGTGAGCCAGCCAGCCATTGTCCTTGAAGTCCTCTGCTGTGCCCATCCTCAGTCACCTGGAATGGAATTTAGGAATGTGACCATCTCATTCTAAAACCATCTATTCTAGCATAAAAGCATTTTTGTGACAGGATCGTATGTGACCTAGGTTGCCCTCATTTTTGATCCTCCTGCCTCCAGCTCCCAAGTGCTGGGATCACGGGCACACACCACCGCTCCCAGCTGGGAATCTGTTTTAAGACTGACAAACTGCTGTCTCGTTCACCGTCCCAACTGACACGGGTGATATCATGAAATGGGTATCAAGAGCATTCTCGTGAGCACGGGACCACAGAGCAAGCTCATCAGATTGAGTCAGGGTCACGGTGGACCCAATGAGATGTCTTGTGATTTCTTCATTTGCAAGACACAACGTGTGTGTGTGTGTGTGTGTGTGTGTGTGTGTGTGTGTGTGTGTGTGT